ATTAGAACTATTAGCATTAAGACATATTCCTTTAAACTGAATTTAGAATAGAAGACGTGATAAAAACATGATATTGTTATAATTTATTTTCCATTATGTTTTAGTAAAGAGTCTGCTATATTACAGCAGATCTCTGATTTGTATTTGTCTCTACAGTAACAAGATTCCCCAACCAAGCAATTATTTCCCTAAAACAGGTGCTGTACACTGTATCTGCTTAGCATGGCCTGAAATGTTGATATACCTGTGAAGTCAGCTAATGCTACTATTTTAGCTGCTTCAGATAAAAGGCATCTAAGCAGCGTACTTCTCTAATGCAGTTTGGAAATCTCTGTGATCTCTTTATTTCATGACAAGGTGTCAAAGCCTAGGAAGTATCACATGTATTGCCAGTCCAAACAGTGCATCTCTGGAATCCATAAAACTTGACTGCAGTAGCACAGGTGTGTCTTGAGACAGTACAGTTTATGTTAGCTTCTGATTGAAACTAAGAATTCAGGGAGGTCATTTGGCTTCACTAAAAGGGAAAAAACTAATGAAGAATGAGCCATATGCACTCATGCTAACTCTGATGGAAGGACTGCTAAATCACTGCAGTTGCAATTAATGGTAATCACTGGCAAATCTGCCTTAAATGTATAATTAATCCAAAGCATGTAAGTAGTCTGACTGATGTGAATGGAACTCTTAACACACTCGTGTACTCACATGCACAAAATTAGTCAGGCACTTGGCTTCTCCAGGAGGGCTGCATGGAAATGCAAAACTCTTCTGCTAAGTCACCATGGGCTCAAGAGAATCGTGCAGTTTAATTATTTTCAGCCAGGGTTAAGGAGGGATGGAAATATCCTTTTGTGCCAGAGAAATTCATCCATATGTCATCTGCAATGGCAGAAACAGTCAGCTCAAGGGAGCAAGCGCAGGTGAGATTTTGGTACATGATGGTTACTTGGGAAGCCGAACTACTTTAAGATGTTAATGCAAGACCAGGGTAATCAGCCTAGGATAAGGCTGAGATTGTTCATTCAAATTTAGAGAGATGTTTCTGTTGGAAAGAGCTGAAGAGAAAATTAATCAGGTGATGTAAATGAGACATAAGAATTGTTCGGGGAGACTTTGAGTACAGCAGTACTACTAGCTAAGATTTAAGCAGATTTCTCATTTTTCACGTGTACCAATCAGCTCCTGAAGCAGCAGCCAACTGCACATCCCCAAAACAGTGGGGTGGTGGAAAGGGCAGCAGATGGGAAGGATCTCAGAGCTGTATAGACTAGAACTAGATCCTGTGAAAAACTGCAGATAATAGGTGAGCAGTAGGGTTAAAAACAGCATGGCTAGAAGTTTGACATCGCTGAGCAACGAAGTTGCTTTAACCTAAACCTGCTAATGAGTTGCAGGAGCACATACAGGTGCCAACAATTTTCACTCATTTTAACTGACTGAGAAAACAACTTTCAGAAAGAAGAATGTAATTGTTAGGGACCTGGATGGGTGGGGGAGTGTTGGTCAGAAAATTAAAATCTGATTAAGAAAATTGGAATTCAGAGTGGGCTTGGTGTGTGCTAATCCTACAAAAATGTGTGCCTCATTGTGCCAGCACTAACACGGCTAATTAAAACAGAAATGTATTGCATTGTCGCTGTATTTGACAGGTAAACCTAGAGAATGTTTGTGTTAATTATATACTGTAATAGCCTTTATTTTCTATATCTCTTATATGATTTATTCCATATCTTTTGTGATGTGAAAATATAACTACTTGCTGATCTCAGCAGTTATGGCTTCAAAAAGCATGTTATTCTGCTTAAACAGTCAGCTCTGATGAGGGACAAAACCACTGCAATTTAACGTACACTTGAAAAATAAGCAAAAACTGCTGTGTTGCTGAGCTGAATATTATTTACAGATTAAGATTCCTTTGGAGAGAAGCTGTGTGAGGCTTTGGTGTACAGACCATCCTTCTTCAAAATATAGCAGATGATGTATAAACAGCACTTTTTTTTTTTCATTTATCATATTTTCTATTTTCAGAGAACGATGTGTTCATTAGACCTCAACACAGGACATTCAGGATACTTAAATTCTACAAAATCCTGGAGATAATTGTAGTTATTTAACATGACAGTATTTTTAGACAGTGTATTAACAATGACATGGCATTCAGTCCTGAGCAATAAAGAATTTTTTGATTCTTTGGAACTTTGATAAAGCAAATATTTTTGTTTAGAAATTTTGCAAAACTTGTAAAGTTTCATAGTTCCTTCTACAATGCCCAACAGAAGGCAAATAGTGCAAGGGAGTGCTTGGGTAATCAACATCTTGTGCAGCTCTAGTCCAAATCCACAGAAGTACGAAAAGATACCAGGAAAATATGACTTGCACAGCCTTTCTGGCACCTGAAAAAAGCACAGCTGCCAGAGTGTTACAGGCTTGGTGGCCTCTGGAAAAAGTCCAGTAGGTTTGCAATCAAGACTGCAAAGAAATACATGGAAGTTGTGCTCCCAGGTGCTGCAGTGTACTGTATGTGCTCTGATGTTGCCATTTCAAGACAGCACAAGTCAGAAAATCAGTAGGACTCAGCTGCAGATTGGAGCGTAGGCCATCAGGGAGCAGCAAAGGCTGCTCTGCAAGGGCAGATGAGCCAGCAGTCCAAGCAGGCAGCAGAGCTTGCGGGGGCCGTGTCCTCTCCTTCCCTTCCAGGGACAAAGACCCACACTGCTGAGCGGGACCGGTGCCAGTAAATGTCAGCAGCCACGCTGCAGCGGTGGGGAGACTTTGGGCCAGCCACAATGGCGGGATACGGCCAAGCCAAGGAAATTTTTCGAAAATTGCATTCTCACCTGAACTAGATCTGCACTTGAACCCTTCTTGCATAGTGTGCTGAGTGTTTTGACCACCTCTGGGGGCCTGTGGGCAAGCAAGTTTGGCTTTCGAGTAGCAATTGTAAGCTATGTGCAAATGGCATGGGGAGTGCTTCTGAAGGTACTGAAACAAATGCCTTTTGAATCCTGAATCATGTGGCCAATGCAAAAGCAGTTAAAACTGGCAGTGTTGATGCTTGGCAGCCAGTGGGACATGTTAGAAATTGTTAGAGCATAAATGGAACCTTAGCTCTATAAGTTTCTGCTTTCTTACCAGTCCAATGGGTGCCAGTCCTGTAAAGGTGTCTCCTAGCTTTCTGCTTTAGCAAGAGGATGGCTTAGGCTTTCAGCACATTTATCTCCTGCTACTGCTAAGACACCTTGGCTCCTGCCAAAATCATAATCTCTACAAAACCAAATGGCATCAAGCCAGAATCACTTGCAATTTTGTGTGGTCCTGATTTGCGTAAGAACCTAGAAATTCTTCAACTAACATGAAGAAGCTTAGTTTAAAAATATTCCTTAAAACATTTTAAAATGTAAGTCTTAAAAACAGTGTCATTTTAAGTAACTTTTCTGTTATTAATCCAGTCAGTGCAAATCTGATCAGCTAAGGTACTCTGAGAGCTTTGCCTTTGTGAACGCTGCACAACTGGGCATGCAGTTACTCAGAGTAGTACCCTGCAATGTAACTGTCCAGAAAGAAGAATGGTGGTACGAGGTCAGCTTGAATCCAGCCTTGTGACGCTTTGTCAATATTTATTGGGAATTCAGTTACTGTAAGAAACAAGGACATTATGTAGCTGTGAGGAATTAGAAAATAGATTGTTTATTATGTTATATACCATCAATCAGTTTAGTGAGTAAATTTAAGCTCTAGGTGATTTATGTAATTTCTCTCAGAAGCCTCAGTTGGCTCTCTTGCTTAATATTTTAAATATGTTTTAGATAAAATTAACAGCAAAATATAACTATTATAATTTTTTCCATAAAAGAATTCAGTAGAATACTGAAACACTTTTAAAATTCACATTGTTGTAATTCTAATTATAGTAATTAAATTGATACTGATTAAAAAGATTAATATATAGACAAGTCAGTTCAGGAAAGCTGTATACAATGAATGTGTATAGATTTTGAATTTACCTCAGATTGGAGACAGTTAGTATAATTTAAGATAACTACTTGAAGGTATTTGTCAACAATAACACTACAGATGACATTTAATCTATAAAGGATATCTTAAGCTTGATATATTCCTCTTTGTGTTTACAGTCTATCTGCAAACACTATTTTATTTTATTCTGTTCAGCATTCTGTAATACTGGACCAAGTCTTTTACAACCTTTGGTATTTTCTTTGCTATGTGAATTCAGTGTTTGGAAAGAGAAATGTGCTTTCTAAGACATCTGTATAATAAAAGGGATAATTTTATATAATTTATATAATTTTATAAGAAGCATCCCCAAGCTCCAATAATAATTCTTTCTGATCAGCTGTGTAACTTAAATATTTAATATGAGAAATTTAAAGTTCAACCTAGAAAGAAAACAGTACTGTCTTAGGACTTTTAAAATGTCCTTTAAAAGTTCACTATGTTGAATGACCTTAGTTAAGTGACATCCTCCATTTAGACAAAAGAACAATTACATCATATATCAAGTGTATGCACTGAAAAACAGAATATTTTAAGACAAGACCAAAGATCAGATCAACACATCTGTGCAAGAACTAAAAACAAGGCTTACAGGAGTGGAACAAATTTGAAGTCTTTCCTTTCCCTGGTTCTCATTTAATCAGTCATGTTATATTTCTCACAGGCTAAGAGGTTTGATCGTAGCCATTGGCTAATTCAAGGTTTAGTGAAGTTGCTCAGGTGCCTATAACTGGAAAATAAAATAAAAATGAAGAAAAAAAAAAAAAAGGAAAGAAAAGCTGAGAAGCAGAAAACTGGTGAGCATTCAGAAGTTCTTTAAAGGATTACTAAATACATAGAAACTAAATACTCTGCCTCCAATTAAGCAATTTAGGGATAGAATATCCCTATATACTTGCATGCTACTGTCATTTCCAACAGATATGAGCACAGCTACCTGAGGTAGCTTTAAAAATGTGTCCAAATACTGAAGGAGTTCTTACCTTGTGTAAGTAAGCGCACAGTGAAACTTCATGGTGCCTTTTGGTATTCTGCGTGTTGGACTGCAAAAGTCAGTTTGTAAAGAGTTTTTTAGACAAGTTGGTGTATCCAAAGCAAGATAACCTCCACAAGTTAGAGTTTAGAGCTGGGCTTTTGTGCTTGTCTAGCAAACCGGGTGGAAACTAGATCCTTATATATTTCTATGTGGTGTAGCTGCCTGTTGCATTCATCACATTCATCAGCTAGGCAGCATTATTCCCCTATCAGATCACTTCATTTTTAGCTCTGAGCATATGATTAAAAAAAAAAAAAAAAAAACTTGACTATTTTTTGCATAGTCTTCTTTAGCTTATATTTTCTTTAAGGATTTAATGGAAGTTGGTCAAATGAGGTCTAAGAAATGGATTTGCAAATACTGATGCTGCTCTTCTGAGTTTTAGCTGCAGGGGAATGAACTGAATAGAAAATTTGCTGTGAGGGTCAGGGAAACCTCTCCAAGTAAGCTCCTGTGGGGTCAGGGCTCTGAATATCCAGTTATCTTTGGGGCTGGTGCATTTGATTTATTCCAGGCTTACAACCACTGGCCAGCGTAATCTTCCTCTTCATTTTAATTCCTTTGTGCTAAGTCATGACCTGTCCTTTAAAGTCTACCTAGCCTAATTCCTCTCTGTGGTTAGATAACAGGCATGCAGATTTATTTTATTTTATTTTATTGGTGAAACTGTGTCTCTGAGCATAGGCAACAACTGTCTGTTGTGTGTTTAGCTCTGGTCAGAAGTGCTCTTCAAACTACTCAGCCTGAATGTTGGATATGAAAACTCCCTTCTGAGTGGAGAGGCAAGTGTTCCCATGCTCTAAAGCTGTGAATATATCCCTAATTGGTATTCAATCTTAAAAAAAAAAATGTCTTTCATTAAAAATATAATTTGATGAACTGGGTAATTGACTTGCATTTGATTAAGGCAGATTCTATTGGATTAACATGATTAATAGGTAAAATTATAATCAAACAGAAAGCAGTACAAAAGGTGACTTAAGTCATGGATCGTATTAAGACACTAAATATAAAAAAGACTGATACTGTAGGAATATATATTTCATAGTTGGTATCGTGATGTTCCTCTTAGACAGTGATGTAATTCAAATGAGTTTTGTGGTCAGAATCAAGGCTTGTTCTAAAGGACTTTGAAGCTGATGAGAGTTGTCTTGACAGAGAAGTATGTTCTTGATAAAACTTTGTCTACAATGTAAATATTTGCTGCTCCCCTATCAATGGCAGCAAAATATTTTATAACTATTGGAAGAACTAGTTCTAAACTCCCAGAATAATGGCTTAATGGTCTTACAATGAGAAAAAGATACCCAAATAACATCTGTTTTCTAACACTTCCTGTAATGTAGCACTGAAATTCAGTGTAACATTTCATTGTAAATGTCTGTTGTGAAAACAACATAAAATTTGGTGTGAAATTTGAGATACCAATACAGGACATGAAGGAGTCTCAGCAAAGCTTACCTAGATAAAAATCCTAGTATTAAATATAGGGTTTTACTTCTAAAGAGAAGTAAAGATCATGGACAGCATCTTCACCTTAGCGCATGTAAAGAGGGAGGTACCACTGAAGTTACAGTGTTGAAAACTACTCTATGTAAATGGTTTGTACTTTACTTTGAAACAGTGAGGTTAATTAATTAATGTTTGTCTAGCACCTAAAGTACTCCTTTGTTTTAGTTAAAAATTCTTCTTCTTTGCCAACCCCAGCAAGTAAATTAGACTGGTTTCTTTTTAAGGTGTGACAAGCTGATACAGTGGTCCACATGTGGTACACAGGAGTAATTATGAGCTGGGATGCATAATGTGGTCCATTAGATGGCTTATCTAGGCAAACAGCTAAATGCTGACATTAGAATCTGATCTGAAGATTTAAAAAAAAAAAAGTTTTCTGTTAGCATGTGTTATTTTTCAAAAGTAGTACAGTGGAAATAACTGAAACTACAGTTAAATAACCCTCCTGGATAGGCAGCTTGTCAGTTAATAATTAGATGAGATTAGTTAATAATTAGGATAACAATTTGTCAGCTAGTAAAGTTAGTGTATGTTGCATCCACTAAGGTCTTTGAAACAAAAAACTGGTAAGCAAATTGAAGATGCTGGTACAATGTACATGTATATAGTAAGTTGTCATTGTGGAATTACAGACTGTGAACTGTTTCAAATTTAATTTGCAGTAGAGATGTTTTCAGGGAGGTATCTGTAAGATAAGAACTAGGCGAATTGAAGACATTATCAAGCATTGATCTGAAGAAGATGTAAAACCTTAAGATATCTTCAACATTATTTCATGATTCACTGAAATAGAATCTAAGAGTCTGCTAAAACATACTAAGCACCTCAACATGTTCTATGTACCCTGGGAGAATGGGTAGTTTCAAATCTGTAAAACAGAGGAACAGAGCTGGAATCTAAATGTTTATGGAATCTTTTTGGTGAGCTTCTTTGTGTTTTAAATTGTGATTATTTCAGACTACTGAAATGGGGAATGATAATTCCTAAACGATGTGAAAGAGCTGTCATTACAAGATAGCTTTCATTGGCTGGCTCACAGTATCCGAAGTGGAGAGACAAATTAGAATCTGTTTGCTTCCTAAAGGATAAGTTCTTACACTTTATTAGAGCACTCTCATGCTCTAATAAAAGGTCAAAAAGACCACCAAATGATTTCTTGATTTTTTTTTTCTAGTAGATGCCAAATGATTTAGCACTCAAAAATGGCTGTATTTAACATCCTGCAGACTGTGCCATAAGAAAAAAAGTTGTACCAATGACAAAACATAACAGAAAATCTGCAGTCAGTTAGAAGTGACCATTATAACTCTGCAGAGATGACTTGGTTACATAGCATGGGTCCCACTGCAAGAGATAGCCTTCCCCCCAACTGTAGACCCTGAACATTCAATTCAAGTTCTGAGAAGATAAGGACTTGCTTATTTTTCTTAATTGAAGCCATTTAGTGACTGCTCTCTAACAGACTGGATTTATAAATTTGGGAAAATTGGGAAAGTGGCATTTCAGAAATAGTATGAATATTGCTGTGTTCCTTCAGTGCAACTTATACTGACAACTGTGCCTACTTTAAGCATATTGAGATTTAGAGTTTATAAGTTACACCAAGAGGAAAATAGTTACTATTGTTTGGGTCATTCTTGATCAACTTAAAAAAGTTTGGCTCAGTCACATATTTAATAATTGGCTATTAAAAAAAAATATTATTTCACTTCTAAGCATACTTTTGAAACCTTCTCTTGAATTGATGTAGGTTCACAATATATTTATTTTGATGACAACGTTAATGAATTGTGTAGTCCCTCTGGTATGTCTCAGCACTGAAGAAGGACTCTGTACTAGAATTATAAGTTCATAAAACTGAAAAAATTAATAAAATTCAGCAGGTCTATTATTTAGTTCACTTTTCTTTTCTGGAAACTCTGAATCTCAGTACATGTTGTCTCTGTGAGGCAGTCTTCATTGACTAAGCAGAAGACTTGTCAAGACAAACACCAATTTAAAAACTATGCACAAATCCAGCTTTAATGCAAAATGGAAGAAAACGTAAGAAAGAAGGAAGAGTATCCTATGTTCAATGTCATTTAACTTAGGACAATTTACTTAACTCTAAACTGTTGATATGGAACCACTTCATTAACTTACTGCAGTAACAATATTCTGTTCCCAGTGAACTTAGCAGTGATGGACTAGAAATCACTGTAAATGGATTTTCTATTTTATTCAAGAATAAAGTCATATTTAGATGGATAGATGAATTTGGAAAAATGTTGCTTCATCTTTAACTCTAATTGAGATACCACCATGGATTGTAAGGCTCTGGAGTATAATGATTTGCCAGCGCAGGACAGAGTGGACCAATTTAATAGTTGCTGGAGGGGTTAGGATTCCAACAGCCTTTGATCAAATCTTTTTTAGGTCAGTAACATTTAGAGATTAGAAAAAAAAAATGAAATAATTGGAGAGAAACCAGATGGTTTGTGGCTAATTTGGAAAAGTACAGATTATATTGTTGTGAAGCACCTTATTAAATAAAAAGGTCTTAAGATTTTATAAGGGATAGATTAATATTTATATCATGTTATTCACACCGTTTAGTGTGCAAACATCAGCCATCTTTTTATTTTTCTGCACATGCCCAGTGCTATCCCTAAAACCACTGTATGAGGAAATACTGTGATGAGTCAGTAAATGAAAGCATTATACGTACATTTCTCTTTTATGTTTTCCACTGATGAAGAAATATTTGCATGTGTATAAAACCTCAGTTCAAATATTAAAGAAGTAGCCAAACTTATGCATATCATGGAAATAACACGGGTGAGTGAAGTGTCATAAACATAAGCTGATCTTTCTGCATTCTGTGCCATTTATCATAGCGTTTTACTTAAATTGCACGAATTCCTGCTCATTACAATTATACCTATTAAATCTGTGTTCTTATTAAACTTTTTGTTGTTACATTCTGAGTACACACATATGCAATAGATAAGAATTAAGCTGTGTATTTACTTTAAGGAGATAAAGGTAAAATACTGCAGATCTAACTGGGTAAATATTATTCATGTTTATTACAGAAGTGCCCAGAGGCTGTGAATGAAACTGCTGAACATTTCACAGATACTGCAAAGGGCAACTTCTGCCCCATGTAGTTTACAGCAAAAAATAAGCAAGACAGCAAAAAGGTAAGAGTGAATGCAGGCTGGGACGTGACTTTGTAAGAAGTCGCTTTTTAAGACGGGTAGAACATAGAGTAGCGGCGTATCTGCTGCCTGAGACTTGAGATCATGCTATGTCAAACAAGGAAGAGCTGCACATTCCAGCACTTTTATACATGTGCCATACAGTATGTTTAGAATATATTAATACATTAAAATGTATGTTTAAAATAAATTTTATATGTATGTGTATAATTACAGATATTTCAGGATGACTAATTGTTACTAGCACATTGCAACTAGTATAGGGTTTTTATTGGCTCCTGTTAGTTTATTTAGTGTTCCTAATGTCTTAACCTCCTGTTAAGGGATGAAGAGGTTCAAACTTTACAGCTTCTTGCTGTCACTTGCTGGCATACTCGAGAATATTGTCTGAGATTTTTTGGGAAAATCTCTTCCATTTGGCAGAGATGTTTGGATACACTGTTAGGAACTGAACACTACGAAATAGATGGTCAGCTCTAGAGGGGATCCTTCAATGAGGGAATAGCTTAAGGAAAACACTGCTAAACAAGCAATGATTTGCTGAGAGGTTTTCAGAATAACATTCTTGACTTAGAGCCCATTATCTAACAGATGTGTATTGATTTAATAAGCCTCCCTACTGTTTCACAATAAGCACTGAGTTCTCTCATCTTCAGTGCAGTATGTGGAGTAGGAAACTATTAATAAAAAGTCTGTAATTCCAGCAAAACATTTTGGTGTCCATATTTGCCAAGGACTGGTAAGGATTTCAAAGCTAGCTAAAGCTTTTTATTTATTTATTTATTTGTTTGTTTGTTTGTTTATTTATTTGTTTGTTTATTATTGGGATGCTGCTGGCAAGTCCCATAGCCCCTCAGCTATATATCCCTCAGATACACGAATTGCTCTGCTTTTGCTTGATTATAGAATAACATTACAAACGATTTCATCTACTTTATTTTTTCCCTGGTATGCCTCAAAATAATCTTACATAATAACATCTTTTTGTGGCTGCAGAAGTAGGGAATTGACACCTTGCTTCTGTCAAGCCTTTACTTCATTCTTGTTTCTTTCTCTAGGTGATGTATTTACTTAACTGTACAGGGCTCTGCACTTCACTTCTGTTATTTTTAATACCAAAGGCTTCATTTGCCATCAAACAAGGTTTAATAACGGTATTGTTCTGGTGAAAACCAAAGCATGAATAGGAAGATATATCCCTCTGCATTTGCAGAATAAATGACAGGACATAATGACATCAATGTGTGAGCACAAAGTCTGTGTATTTTCTAGGCTTTAGTTGTACTTCTTCTGATACCGGGACTGACTGTAGGCTCTGCCTAGATAGACATAAAAACTCATATGCAGATAGATGATAGTGGAGCTCAACAGTCAGTTCACAACCTGAGGCATCCACTATTCCAGACGTGTAAGAGATGTGACAACTGCTTCCCTCTGTTCTATCTCTGAAGGTGGTTTCCTCAGGAAGAAAGCAAAAGCTCAGCCAGTATCCTTGCCTTTCCCTTTTTATTTCTTACTATAGCAGGAGGCAATAACCAAGAGAGGGATTTGGCGTGAAATCTGCTGCAAGAACATGCAAGTGTGGGAAGGAACAGAGAGCTCTGCTGCTGCAGATTTCTGTCGGGGTTAGTGAATACTGCTATGCTGGAGTTCAGCTGTGAGGAGTGGAGCCAGCTGCCACAGAACTGGGCATGGTAAGTCATGGTCAGCACACAGAGCTTTCTCAACAGTTTTGAGTTGTACACAAAGTGAATTATCTTCTGCCTACATGCACCCATGTTGAAAGTGAAGGTTATATATAAAACCATATATAAAATGAGCATACCTATGATAATACTCAGATTTTAAAAGCCATATACATTATGGATTAAGCCATGAGTTTACTGTGATATTTTGTGTATTTGTTCATTGCTATCAAGGTGTTCAGATGAAAAAAGATCAGCTATATGTTGAAAAGCAACTAATAATTTTACTGTGCAGTTTTGTGCTGCTAAGCTCCAAGTATTTTAGAAGAGTCTGCAAGTTTTGGAAAACCGCTTCTCTCTCTTCAGCCTCTTGATGTTTCAACGTGAACATCACAAAAAAGACCAACAAGTAACTTTTGAAAATCTTAGCTTTCAAATGTTAGTCTTATAGCTAAAAACAAACAAACAAACAAACAAACAACCTAACAAAAAAACAGCTGTGTATCTCTGTAGTGCATGTGTCGTAAAATTGCATAATCCCAACACAGAAAGCATCCTACACAATGCATCTTTTCATCTTTTTTAAGGTAAGAACGGATTGTGTGACGAGTTCAGCAAGATTTCCATATTCAGGACCTCTTCTTTCATGATCTACTACTATTTTCTGCAAAGTTTCAAGTAATTTGCTTTTCTGAATCAAGCTATAAAGCTTTTAACTATAAAATTGATCTCCCCATAAAGTACATGTTGTGTTCTAATACCGTAATTACCTAAGGCCTGATCTTCCAACCTTTGGCATAAGTAATCTTTATTCATCTGTCTAATCTTCTTGATTGAATATAGGAGGAGTCAAGTGACTAGAGCCTATCTGCTACTGTAGCCTGCTACTCAACTTTCCTAAATCACAATTTGTTTTCACTTGGATAAGTGATTTAAGTGAAGGGTTAACACTGTTCTGTCTCTCTTAATTTAAGATTTGGAAGACAATTATAATTCAAAACGCTTCTCCTAGTTGAGACTCCTTAGGAAAAACATATACATAGCCTAAAGCTAGGAGTCCAACTTTGCTTTTAAATGCAAATATTTTAACAAGTATAACACACAGAAGCATGAACTATCAATTATTCCTACTAGGCATATGTAAAACATCTTGTTTATCACAAAGAGACCAAATTAGGCTAAAAATGTAAAATAAAAATTTGTAATTGAAGTGTTGCCTGTTCTCCTTTGAAACTGCCCATTGTTCTTATCAGCAGTAGCCTTCAGGTTGCCCTGATGCATCTGAATGGATCTTTCAATAAGAAAAGTTGGCAACTGCCAGTAGTGGCCCTCTGTGGCATTTGTCATGCAATAACATCTGTCATGCAATGACTTTTTATTGAGAATGGTGTTAGAACAGGGTGCTATTTACAAACACTAGCCTGTCAGATAAAAGTAAAGATATTAGTTTCCCCTTACTTTCATTCTCTAAATGTCTTATTGGTAAGTACAGAATGACAAGAGGACACATTTCAAGTAAGGTAGAGTGTATTTCCTAGCTTACCTACAAACAGAAGCATATAGCCAAAAGTCCATGTAATATTTTTTAGGAAGTTGCAACTTCAGTGTTTGTTTTATTTTATTATTTTATTCCAGCTTTAATTGCATTAGGCTGAAGGCAGATCAACTACAAGTCTCAACAGCTGTTGTTCTTAATTTTCAGTACGCTGTTGATTCAGCCTAAATCAAGTCAGACTCTACTGCTTATCTCCATGTCCCCAGAAAATTTTGTTCTGAGACAGTATATTCTCTGCCTCCACCCAGATGTTTCAGAGCTACAGCTGGACTAAGTCCTCAGGGTGACTTTGTTGCATTATTTTGCAGACACGATGGCTGTTTTACTAATACTTTTTCTCAAGGGAAAGTTGATAGTTTTGGATCAGGAAATAATTGTCTTAATCATACGCAGTATCTCTTCAGGTTTCAAAACTGTGTATTCACATGCCCAGGATTAATATGAATGTTAAGTATCGATATGGCACAGTCCTGTGACTCATATGCTCTGAAAACATGCCCTGATCATCCAGTTATCTTTGGAAACTTTCACTGCAGTTACCATTGCATCAGAGCAGCCTGTGTTGTTTGTTTTAATGTGTGTGTTGTATTTTTTTTTTATTTTTTTTTTAATGTCCTCTAAGTTCTTTTGTACCTTGAAGTCTTAAATCCCTGGCACTTGGTGGCATGTTCTGTTTTGTTCCTTTTTAACTTTAATCTTGTTGGTGTGGAGTGACTTTTAAGTGCTCTGCAATCTTGGTCACCACCGGGGTTTTGTGTATTGCCCTAACCCCATTGATTTGCTTTGGTTGTTACTTCTAGAAGTCTGACAGTTACATTTTAACCTTGGAATTTACAGTGCTTCATAATTTAATGTATTTGATGTTGACTGGATTGATAGAGACTGTTGTTTAATACAAATTATGTCCAAGTACTATTATTTAAAGATCTATTGTCTACAATTTTTCATAGTTTCATGTCTCTGTCCTCTTACTGATTACTTCTATGCTTTTTACAGCTCTGAGGTTTTAGGCATCAGAACACAAATTTCTTCCACAGTTTTTTGCAATATGGCTTGAAATGAGAGAAAGCCTACCTCTACACAAAGTTGGTCTTAAAAGTTAGAAAATCTTACTTTTTTAAACACGTGTTTCCCCTACTATTACCTAGTTCTAATTTCTCTAACAGCATAAAATTAAGTAGACTTGACTTAGCTGTAGAGACGCTTTCATTTCAACTCATTAAGTGCATGAAAGCTCCAGCAATGCTTACTTCTCTTAAAATAACATGTCCTCTTCTAGGTGCTAAATTTATTTATTTTGCTGTTAAAAGACTGGATGCTTTGTCATGGAACCACTCATTTCAAGACAGCAGAGCATGTTGATTACATTGTTTTCTGACTGATACTGCTGTATCTAAGCAAGACTATCAATGGTGTCATTCTGTGATAGTCTGAAATTTGGAGACGCGCTGATGAAAATTCATGGAAATGAAGTCATCAGGAGTTTTTCCTTGTATTAGTTATTAATGTTAAATATTAAATAAGGTTTATTTCACTCGTCTTCCAGCATTTTCAAGTTATGAGAGGTTTTAGTGTTGGCCATGTATACTACCTTGTAGTAGTTGTCACTGGACAGTGTGGAACTTGGCTGTTCAGGTGTGATTTGGGAAATGAGTCATTTTTGGCATGAGCACAAAAGCTGAAGTACTTATTGGGAGAATCAGCAGTGACATAGGTAAGAGCTGATGCATCTTACAATGAAATTTATCCCTTCTCTCTTAAAGTGGTTTCCTTTTTTCAGGTCAGAGTACTGATGTGACTGAAAATTCAAAATGCTGGCACTGCACAATAGGAAGGCTTTCACTGCAAAAATGTTTTTTTTTTTTAATGAAAGTTGAGATGTTCAAGTATAGAGCAGATTTACGACTGGACTTGGAAAGAACTGTGGTCTTTCCTTGACATGGTACAGAACTGCAGAAACAGTCCTACCAACATGTATTTTGTGTTAGACTCATATTGTGGTCCTTAAATTCACAGTTTTCCCCGTTTGGCTTGCTGACTCCTGCATCTTAACTTTCTCTATTCCATTTCAAAAAAAAAGGGGGTGCGGGGAGGGGAGAGAGAAAGGAACAATTAAAGCAAGTCCCATGCATTAAATATATACAGCTTAGGTTGTCAGACAGGAGTCATTGTCTATAAAATTGTAAAAAACAATAATAAAATAAAATTACCAGGGCACATTACCTTTTCAATCAAAACAGTCACATTACCAGTTCAATTAAAAGGTTGATATTATAAATACAGCTTTTTTTCTTTAAAGAAACAGAAATTAATTTTTATTCAGGGATCCTCTATTTAAATGCAGCAGTGATATGATTCAACTTGCTCCAAGTTTATCACTGCTTAGTATTGGAGAAGTGGTGGGTAATGTATGTGGGTGCACCTTGCTGAATTGCCAGAGGTTTTAAGTACAAGCAGTGCCTAAAATACAACACTGGAATAGTGTGATAGCAAACTGGCATCTTTACTGGGTTGAATAATGCCACTGCAACATAAACAGAGAAAATTCACGCTCTGACTTTTATGTAACTTAACCATGTAGTCACTGCAGCATAACACTGCTACAAAACAAAAATGCTACTTCTCTAGACATCCCATCTTTATTTCAGGCTGGTTCTTTAAATGATCAGAACTTCAAAAACCCTCTAGGAAGAGGTTAAATGATGCCATGAAGAATACTGGCCAGCATGTGGTATTTCTAAAAACTCTCCTTTCTTTAGCTGTGAACTTGCTTGCTTTGTAGCTTTGTGTTCACATTTAATATTCGATTTAGCAGTTAGTCAAGTCCAACTGTAGAACTCGGACTATATCCTTTGTGTTACTCATACTTCAAAAAGGACATAAAATAGCCTTCATATCTCCACCTCTCTACCAAAATCTCTCCTACATTTTGTTTTGTTTGTATGTGTGTGTTGGAAAGGAAGGAGTGTACCTGAAGCAGACGGTTGTTTCTTCTCTTTATATTTTTTGATGTGTGATGAGCTTGGCTATCAGATCTCATTGTGTTACTGAATATGGCTTCATTAGCTACAAAAAGTGCTATCTACAAGGAAACAAATATGCCCTCTGCTGACTTCATCTGTGGCTAGAATTTTAAAAGCTGCTGTCAGGGAGTACCACGATGGTACCACAATTGTTTGCAAATAAAGCAAATTAAAATAAACATCTTTTATCGTAAGAAAGCAATTAGTGTTGATTCGCAGCTTCACTTGGTTTTTCTTTCCTGACCTTGACTATATCGTGATGGTTTTGTGCTTCCTCGGACAGCTTCTACTTGCATCTGCATCGATTAAACCTTGATCTCATTTATTATCTCAGGAAATGGTCTCAAGGTCACAGGGCTGGAAATTTAATTATGGTGGCAGTATATTAAGTGGCACATTTAAAGATGCTGAATCGCAGTAATTAATTTTTT